AGACAGACTACAGTTCTGGTACTGTGGAGTAGACAGACTACAGTTCTGGTACTGTGGGTAGACAGACCACAGTTCTGGTACTGTGGGTAGACAGACCACAGTTCATGGTACTGTGGGTAGGCAGACCACAGTTCTGGTACTGTGGGATGCAGACCACAGTTCTGGTACTGTGGGTAGACAGACCACAGTTCTGGTACTGTGGGTAGGCAGACTACAGTTCTGGTACTGTGGGTAGGCAGACTACAGTTCTGGTACTGTGGGTTGGTTGACCACAGTTCTGGTACTGTGGGTAGGCAGACTACAGTTCTGGTACTGTGGGTTGGCTGACCACAGTTCTGGTACTGTGGGTTGGCTGACCACAGTTCTGGTACTGTGGGTTGGCTGACCACAGTTCTGGTACTGTGGGTTGGCTGACCACAGTTCTGGTACTGTGGGTTGGCTGACCACAGTTCTGGTACTGTGGGTTGGCTGACCACAGTTCTGGTACTGTGGATAGGCTGACCACAGTTCTGGTACTGTGGGTTGGCTGACCACAGTTCTGGTACTGTGGGTTGGCTGACCACAGTTCTGGTACTGTGAATAGGCTGACCACAGTTCTGGTACTGTGGATAGACCACAGTTCTGGTACTGTGGGTAGGCATTGTGAACTGAAATTAGTCTTTCTTGTTGAATCAGAACTATAAACGTTAGCAGACTCCCGCCTGGCATTCATGGTATCATATCTCACCAAATTGCAGTAGACAATGTTGACAGACTTCCATCTGACACCCACCACCCCAGATCTTACCAAATTACAGTAGACAAGGTTGACAGACTTCCATCTGACACTAACTACCCAAGATCTCACCAAATTACAGTAGACAAGGTTGACATACTTCCATCTGACACCAACTACCCCAGATCTCACCAAATTACAGTAGACAAGGTTGACATACTTCCATCTGACACTCACCACCCCAGATCTCACCAAATTACAGTAGACAAGGTTGACATACTTCCATCTGACAAATTACAGTAGACAAGATTGACATACTTCCATCTGACACCCACCACCCCAGATCTCACCAAATTACAGTTGACAGGTTGACAGACTTCCATCTGACACTAACTACCCCAGATCTCACCAAATTACAGTAGACAAGGTTGACATACTTCCATCTGACACCCACCACCCCAGATCTCACCAAATTACAGTAGACAAGGTTGACAGACTTCCATCTGACACCAACTACCCCAGATCTCACCAAATTACAGTAGACAAGGTTGACATACTTCCATCTGACACCAAATTACAGTAGACAAGATTGACATACTTCCATCTGACACCCACCACCCCAGATCTCACCAAATTACAGTTGACAGGTTGACAGACTTCCATCTGACACCAACTACCCCAGATCTCACCAAATTACAGTAGACAAGGTTGACATACTTCCATCTGACACTCACCACCCCAGATCTCACCAAATTACAGTAGACAAGGTTGACATACTTCCATCTGACACCCACCACCCCATTTCTCACCAAATTACAGTAGACAAGGTTGACATACTTCCATCTGACACCCACCACCCCATTTCTCACCAAATTACAGTAGACAAGGTTGACAGACTTCTATTCGACACCTACTACCCACAGCAAATTACAGCAGAGCAGACCATAGTAAAACTACAGTGGAGTTTGTGCAAAAGCTAACATGAATACCTCAAATGTAACAAATTTGGAGTAATTCCAACAATAACATAAATATCTCTTGAGTTTGTTCATCTTAAAATGTCCATGCAACACCATCATATTCAAATTGAGATAAAGAATGTGTAAAGACATGCAGAGAAACATTAGAAAATGTTTATATACAGCCAGTGTTATAGCCGATGCAATCACCGCAAAAGAATTTATTAGGCAGTGTTTTAGCCGATGCAATTACCACAAAGGAATTTGTCAGGCAGTGTTACAACCAATGCAATCATCACAAAGGAATTTGTCAGGCAGTGTTACAACCAATGCAATCATCACAAAGGAAATTGTCAGGCAGTGTTACAACCAATGCAATCATCACAAAGGAAATTGTCAGGCAGTGTTACAACCAATGCAATCATCACAAAGGAAATTGTCAGGCAGTGTTACAACCAATGCAATCATCACAAAGGAATTTGTCAGGCAGTGTTACAACCAATGCAATCATCACAAAGGAAATTGCTTGCACAATTATTAGCTGGGCTGCGGTAACAGTGTTTACAAATATTATATGTTGGTGTAAATATGGTAATGTTCAATTTCACATACATCGGCATTTGGATAAATTGTGTCCTAAAACTCTGGCTGTATACAAGAACACAGTGTATTAGGATGTGGTGCTGTAAGGCATGGTTTTATCCAGAAATCACACAAACACTGAGTATAGTGGCTTTCTTTCATAAAAATTTTTGTAAGAAAGTCAGATTTTTTTTTTTAAATGAGAAATGTAAGACTATTACCATGGTTACATGAAAAGACAAATACAACTAAAATCCTAATATTATAGTATTGCATCATGACAATGGATTGAACCATTTTTTTCTTCAGATGGTCTCTACGGGTTGCCACCCATAAAACAGCAATATTTTGCTCAAATCTGTGTCAGTTTTCATTAAATTGGCCACACCTGACCACGTAGCTGACCATCCTGTTGGTTGGACGTGACAATCCTTTGACCATTCTGTTGGCTTAACCTTGTGATCCTCATATTGCATTTGCTGTTATTTTAATAAAGGCATTGTAGGAAACAATTGAGTCAATGACAAACCATACAAAGTGGCAGTGTTCCTTACTCTACAAGGAGTGTATATTAACTATTATCTGCAATTAAAAATTCTAACATCTTACACCAATATTAAAAACATTCGAACCTTAAAAAAAATCGCATTGATTTAATTTAAAAAAAAGAAGCAATTCTCTAATGGTCAATTCATTATTCATATAGTTATTGAATTTACATAAATGTACAGCAGCTGAATTGCATTTAGAATTGATGCATACATTCCATGACGAGGAACAGGTACTTGACAATCAAGATGAAAATCATTAACTCACATCTAATAAATAAATTAAATAAATATATATATATACAATATGCAGTAATAAAATGCATCAAAGGTGAAACCATTCAGTAAAACGTCCACTAAATAACAAACAAAAGTAACATCCCTCAATGTCATTGAATATTAAAATAAAAAATTCCTCTGGAATGCATATATACAACATAACTTGCACACACTCTTATACTATATTGTCTAGCAACCAATAAAAACTTGCAATGTTTTTGTACAGGGGGTCTAATTGGTCAACAAGCTCCTGTAATTTTTAAATCTCAATGTAATTGGATAATGACAATTAGAAATGTATTTGCACCTTACACTAATAAAAGCTTGTTAATATCAGAGCTAAAAACTAGGTTCAGATCCTGATACACAGGTTCCTGAATTGTTATCAATTTTTAGTGGAAAATGTCAAAAGGAATGTTTATATAATCATAAAAAATGTAAATTGGTAAATCATGTAAAGTATTAATCATCACAGAAACATCTACATTCTATTGTCTACTATGTTTCTAATTTAATATTTAACAGTTAGGAAGGCTTTAATGAAATTTACTAATTAACTAAAGGTACCAGGGCTACCTAAGTTAGCCAATAAAGGCACCCAAACCAGCAAGAGTTTGGTCATGGTCTAAAATTGTCATCCACAGTTTTTACTGTCACACTTCTAAATTTAAAACACTTAGGGTGTATTTTCCATGACCAATCAACAAGCATATATTATTGCAACAATGTTGTAAACAAAGTTCATATTCATTTAAGTAGAGAGAAGATATATGTATATATTATGACAATGAATGAGTCAATTAAATGTGTCAATGACATCCATAATAATTTAAATATGCAAATGACATCTATCATCGATTAAATGTACAAATGTCATCCATCGTCGATTAAATGCAACAATGTCATCCACCATCAATTAAATGTACCAATATTATACCCTATCATTTAAATGTGTCAATGTTATTACCATTAATTAAATGCGCCAATTACAACCACTTAAATTATCAATGACATCTGCCATCATTTGAATATGTCAATGAAGTATGTCAACGATTGAATGACGTGCACTATTAATTTAATGTGCCATTGTATCCACTTCAACTAAATGTGCCATTGACATCCATCAATAAATAACATGATTAAATGTGCCCAATTAACTGTCTAATGTGTAGACAATGCTAACACCCACTGTCAATTCACAATGTGCACATTGTATGATCGATATTCAGTGTGTTAAAGCATCAATGAATAACATTGAATAATCAGCGTAAAATTTAATAATTATTAAATAGTAGCTGAACACCATTTATTTTCTTTGAGATACAAAAGGTGGTTGGTTAGTTTCATATCACTTCTTAATGAGATAAAGCAATTCTAGTTGTTAATGCACTATCCAAACTTAATCAAGTTAATGTAGATAGAGGCTATGATGGGACGCTATCAGTTGAACTCACTTGAAGCTCTATGTAGTTCTTGAAGTTAAAGCAGATGATTGGAATGATGGTACACTATTGGATGAAATCAATGAAGCTCCATGCAGTTCTGGAGGTTAATACAGATAGTGGCTATGATCTACATGTACACTATCCATTGAACTCATTGAAGTCCTATGTAGTTCTCAAAGTTAAATCAGAGGAAGGCTGTGAAGGTACACTATCTGTGGAACTCACTGAAGTCCTATGTAGTTCTCAAAGTTAATGCAGATGGTGGGTAAGATGGTATACTATCCATTGAGGTCACTGAAGTTCTATGTGGAGTGTCAGCTAGAGATGAAGTTGTAAACAGTTTATACCATCCAAGTGACGATTTTGATAGGTTCAGATCATCCAATAAAATCTGAGCTACCCCCATGAATACTTTGCGGTCCATTCTACCATAATCACCCCAGACAGTAATCTGTAAGTAAACATTGTATTACGTAGTCTTCATAAGTTATATAAGAAATATATAAATAATTATAGAGGCATTACTCTGAACTCAACAGTATCAAAAGTTTATGCTAAAATAATTGAAACTAAATTAAAACAATTTGTGGAAGATAATAACATATTAGGTGAGATTCAGGGTGGATTTAGAAAGGACAGACGCTGTGAAGACAATATCTTTACACTCAAAGGTATTGTGTCTCAGCGAAAATCTCAAAACAATTCTACATATGTTGCTTTCCTAAATTTTTCTAAAGCTTTTGATCGAGTTTGGAGAGATGGACTTCGGGTTTCACTGTGGAATGCAGGAATTAGAGGAACATTGTGGAATATAATTAATGATATGTATGAAAATGTTTTTAACAAATTTAACTTTAACGACATAGAAACGGATTATTTTGAAACTACAGAAGGGGTCAAACAAGGATGTGTGTTAAGTCCTTTACTATTTTCAATTTACATAAATGAATTTGCAAAAATGCTGCAGGATTCAAAATTAGGGGTAGAAATAGGTAAAAAGATAATTCCTGGACTATTTTGGGCAGATGATGTTGTCCTCATCGCAAATAATGCAGATGAATTACAAAATATGTTAGACATAGCAGCAAAATTTGCAGACAATTGGAAATTAAGTTACAACAGCAACAAATCCCAAGTAATGTATTTTGGCAAAAAATTGCATAGAAAAGGCACACTCTGGAAATTAGGAAATCTGTTACTAGAAGAGACCAACACATATAAATACTTGGGAATAGTTATTTCTAAAACTATAAAGGACCATGCACAATTTACTGAAATTTACAAGAAGGGGATGAAATTAATATCATATTGTAAAGCCATCATCATCAACACAATAGTTACAATAGGTTTGAGTATGGTGATGTATTGTGGAAGAGTATAATTTTACCATCTA